TTAATTTCTGATCGCGAGCTACTAGCTATTTTTCACAGTAGATCCACTTTATCGTATTGAGGCTAGTGGTTCAGCTTCCAAGATTTCTACTCACTCATCATTGTTTGAAACCGATTCCCAAGCAAGCTCTGAAGAATTTATCGGTTGATAGCAGACCTGTCTGGAATGGTAAGAGTCATTGTGAAGGAAAAATCGCATTCATACCAGCATAGTTTTGAGTGGAAGCAAAATGCACACATCCTAAAAAGGATCGATCAACACTGAATTCTTCATCTTTATCCTTCAGTGGAGGTGGGAGGTGGTGGAGTGGGAAAGAGCACGCTTACTACGCGCGCAGTCCGGGGGTCGAATCTCAAATTGGGAAAGACTTTATTTTTTGTCCTTTTTTCAGTGCTGTAATACCCAATGAGGTCTGGAAAATCCTCCCAGTGAAAAAAATTAATAAACGAAGAGTACGGAAAACCGCTTCCATGATACTTTCTAGAGAGGGGTCGTCAAGTCCAATCATAAGAAGACCACCTCAAAAGATCAAGATTCCTGCTTTTGAGAAAATCCTGGGCAAAAGGCAGTGGTTCGAGGAGCCTGATGCCTAGCACTTCAGATTTTCGACGATTTTGTTGTTTTCTTCAACAGGGAGCAATCTCTTCAGGTGGAAGAGGTTGTCTCACAGTGCAGCATCGCCTACAACCACTGCTTTGCTAGGCTGTAATTACGGCGGTACACAGAAATGAAGAGAAACACTCAGAAGTCTCCCCATCAAAAAGACCCGTCTCTGTACGCCCTGTTCCTCAGCTCTCACTGCGTCTGTGTCTTGGTAGACGCACTTTGTGGGAGGCAGTGATTACATTGGTCATCACAGCAATGGAGTGGATGTGGCTGCGAACTTTACTAAAACCTGGTACAAGTATTGCCTTTTCCTATACTAAGACAAAGTCATGGTTGCAGCTGTTCTGAAAGTGCACCATCTTTCCAGAAGCGCAGCTGTCGCCCCTTCAAATGAACTACGCAACCACGGCCTCCACAGCTCTCTGATATGGAGTGTACACTTGCAAGTTTGCAACACTCCACATGAGTCATAGCTGTTTCGCCACCGCTCATACACATAATATGTTTCGAGGGTGTTTTCTTGTGTTTCACTACTTTCTAGCGGCATCAGGAAAGCCCTCAGGCATTAACTAAATTTATTAGCCGACTTCATCGTTTTCTATCGACTTCTCGGAGCTTTATGAGGAAAGCGAGTTAAAAGAATGCTAAAAAAACTGGGACGAAAATCTAGGCGATATCTTTCTCTTTTGTCCTCTATTTCCACAGAGGGTTCTGAAACGGAGAAAGAGTTCAGGTAGAATTTAATGCCTCAGCAAACAGTGTGCTTTTAAGGAAATTCTGACGCAGTTTTCGGTGACGCAAATAACGCGGTTTTGTATTCTTAATAGCTTGATTAACAGATAAATTACTAAGAAGAAATCCGCTTATGTAAAAGCTCCAGGGAATCTCATCGGTTCTCTTCCAAGTGGAAATTTCTGTATATGTTGAAGAAAAGCTTTTCCCATTATATTTTGTTAGCGAGTGGATCTGGTAGCTTATGAGGCGATAAACGACAGAGGGGTGCGAGTTGTGTGCCTACAGATCTTGATTGGCACTTCCAAAATCAAAAGACCGAATTCCAGCAGGAATTTCTCACTGTTCATGCCCGGTTACTGCGCTGAGAAGCTTTGTGCCTAACACTGAATGTGAATGCCTGTGAAGTTGTAGCGGGTGGCGCCGAGAAATGAATTCTGACCTCATCTCGTTTCACCTACTGATTCAACCCAGCATTTGCAAGTGGCTTGAAAAAAACGTGAAGTAATGATTCGGTAAGCAACTGTTTAGTTCGCGAGGATGCCAGTCTATGCGCTCACTTCAACGATCAATGGGTAAAGGTCAGCGAACACCATTCTTTGGTTGTAGAGGACCTACTCATGGAAGAAAAGGGATGTTTCGCAGGACCGATTCTGAAAAGGAAGGTGGTGGTGGTTTGGGAAGGACGAGCAGTGGTGAAATATATAAGTGTAGGCGCAAAAGGGAGCGAAGGAAATCCAAAGAGCGAAATTCTCAGCCCACGTGATAGGGAGAGAGGAGGTAAGCCAAGTGGGATCAGTTGAGAGGTCAGTGCTGCTTTGGCACATGCTTGTGCCTGTGAAACCTCAGCATTTTAGTGACCGCACTCTTTTATAGCAAAAAAAGTTGCATTCCGCCTTTTGAAAACAGTTTAGTTTTGTGTTACATGAAATCTCATTACACAGCTGTCTCATTGGCTTGCTGCGAAGAGTTTGGGTCAAGGGTAGGGTTTGTTGGCGTTCACGTGTCCGCAGTTGAAGTATACCGTGAATTGTGAGGCACACTAGGCTTGGGATTAGCTTGAGCTCGCAAGCGGGGCCTTCACTCATCCAACATCGGTTTTTGAATAGTTCCATCACATTTTGCAGGCAATAACTCTCCCTATGATTTGGTTTCAGAGCCTTGACTTAGAGTGTCCTTTGGGCATACTCACCACCACAGCGTTGCCAGTATCTTGGAATAACGGGCTTTACACATGAACGAACTTCGAACTAATCTTTTCAGTATACTGAATGACAAACAACTCTCTATAGCTATTTCTCCTTCATGTAGTCGTCAACAATTGGATATACTCGTATTAGTTGAGTCAGCATTTTCGAAAACAGTTCATCTCTGAGCTCTTAGAGGTTACATTCGACGAGATAATATAAGCGTGGCTGACGCAATGTATTCAGAGCTGTTGTTACTGAGTGATCTTTCATTAAGTCGTCGACGATTCTGAGAAAATGAAATGGGTGTTTGAAAACATACTGCAATATTTCAAGAGCAATTATATTTCTGTTTTCAGACAGCCAACTCAAACAGCAAGTTCCTCAGTCACTGCTGACTTCACCAACGTCATCTGACGGATCTTCCTACTCGCCGACGACTCTCAACGCGTTTGCCTCTTCACCGGATCTTCTGCGAACGCCGTTGCTGTTCCCATCGCAGTCGCCAGCGACCACAACCACGAACTCTCCTCCGGAATCGGCTACGTTCGCCGCTGCTGCCGCTTCTATGATAGCAGCCCCAGTGCCAATCAATCCGGTCACCCCGTCAGGTTTCCCCTTTCCTCTGGTCAGCAACGAGTCCCTACTGCAGAGTCTGCTCGCCAACTATAAACTTCTCGAGCAGTCTTCAGACTACCCCATGGAGACTTCCGACTCAGTGGACTCACAAATCAATAATGCGATAATTGATGTATGTAATGTTTGAAATCGTGCTTTCTATGTACATGTAGTAATAATCGGTAGCACTACGCCGGTAAAGTTGGCCACATGCCAGCGAACAGGGTTTCATGCCACCACCACTCTTCAATTGTATACAAGGAAAATGAATATGTAACCTCTTCGTTCGATTTTCTTTCCATATCGCCATCCTTTTCCGAAATATTTCTTTCATGCTCCACATCCCTGTGAACACTGTACCTCAAACACTACCAGTTGATATGTGCCGAGCCCTTCATTCCTACTGTAGTCCATTATTTGCAATATATTGTCGTCGGGCGTCTTTTACAGTAGGTACTGACGTCTTAGCACGGACGGCGTTCTGTAGCCTATAGCTGTTATATTGTGATCATTGATTTCTACGTCTTTGTCTGAATCATGTTGACCAAATGTTCCTCTCACTTGTGATGCGAGCGCCACCCCAGACGTGATCAACTGTGATTGCATACTGTACCTGATCGTACCGTTCTTCAAACACCTCACTGCTACCTCCTAAAACAAATTTCGCTGTGTACCTCAATGTCTGGCTGACTATCGGTTTAATCGGATGCAAAGAGCTAGAAGATAGCTCGTTATCCAGTGGTATACGTTGATAAAACCAAACGTCCATCTAGTCGATAGTCGAAGCCACCTCTAATCAATATGCATATCATAGCATAGTGTTTTTGTATATTCCTACCAATACACGTTTTTTGTGCATGAACATGAAATTTCACACATTGCATGTAAATGCTGGTGACCAGGTATCCATATTGGCCACCATGTTCACAGAGCTCTTGACCTGTCGTTCATAATTGATTGTATTGATTGATTGTATATGAAAGATTTTCACTTCCTTGTTTTGAAGATCAGCCAGTTACTAAAGCCTGGTTAAACGGCACGAGAACGCCACGAGATCGAGACTTTCAGACTAAAGGTGTGAGCCTTTGGACAGGCTATCATTGACCGACTGGTTGGCTTCTTCTCTTAGGCAGCGTTCATACTTCGCGACAGCAGCGGCGATCGCGGCGATCGCCGCGATCGTCGGTGCATGGCAGCGCGCGCCCCAACGCTACATATTATGGACCGCTCGCCTGATGAATAAGGGAATTCAACTTGTAAGACCTTCTTTACTCTTAATAAGGGCTACTAACAGATAAGCTACGACTTTCTACACATAAGCAGATCTGGAATATGAGGTAAGAAGGTTTCACTTCTTTTTAGGTCGGGATAAGGCCAACTCCATTCCCTGGGTGAGCTTCTTTTTGTTTTTTTTGTTTTTATTGTTTCAATTTATACAAGCGCTCAAAAGTTCCTATCGTCTGAACTGTTCCAACTTCCAAAACATTTATAGTTTACAAGTCGAGTTCAAACAACGAAGAAGAAAGAAAAAGAAAGAAACTCACCTAGGAACCAAAACACTAATCATTTTACGCGACATCAACAGGTGAAAACTTCATAACCTCATGTATAAGCTCGACGAATGAAAAAAGAAACAATAAAAACCTACCTTAAGTGAAGCTCTCGCGCTTTTTGCTCATTTCTATCCTAAATAAGAAAGAAAATAGAAAACAAAAGCGATTAAGCTGGGCTCACCTTCCCTTGTGTCAAACCAAGCTTCAGTACCTAAGGAAATTGCAGTCAAAGGAAAAAAAGCATAAAATTGAGCCGCTTACCCCCAGAAGCCTTCGGAGCGCAAGTAATAGCGTTGGGGCGCGCTCTGCCATGCACCGACGATCGCCGCTGCTGTCGCGAAGTATGAACGCTGCCTTAGCGACGAACTAAATTGCGATCTTTCTCTGGGTAACTAGTTGGTTCTATATGGTAGTATTGACTCGAGGAGATTCTGTGAAAGGAAGTTCTTTGGTGGCCCACTCTTGTCAGATGTAGCGCATCTCAACTGGGAGCGACGACAGCACGAGCCCCCTTGTAACTCGATTTTGCGCGGCCATCATCGTGCAGAGCACTGTCGGTGCGTTGATCGCGGAGCGAGATTGACCTCTCAGCTAGTCGCAGGACGTACACTGAAACTTCCATCATTTCCTCACTGATATGATCAGAGTGCGTCATCTATGGGAAAGCCTCACTGAGGGGTATCGTATTTGACTGGCCCGGAGCCTTCTGTGGAGAAGGCTCGAGCCAGTCAACACTGAGGCGGCGGCTCTACCGGTAAGGAATTACTAGTGAGCTCGCAATTTTCAGGGAACGAACTAAACAGGGGTCCACAATGTAGCGTACCACTTTTTCCAATCGAAAGCACACGAGAGCAGAGCTGTAGGGCAGTGATATCCAGCTGCATGCGCTGTCGCACGGACCTGTTTTGCAGAGCGGTCTTGGTATAACGCAGATGCTGCAAGTTGAGTGGCGCGTGGAGTGTAGAAGCACCAAGCGTGTTAAGCTACCCCCCCCCCCCTCTCCTGAGCCGTTACTGGGGACTTTTGACCAAAGAAAGTGGCACATTACTGCAGCTACGAACCCGTTTTCTTCGCGCATGGCAATGACCGTAATTGAGGTGAAGTATGCAGTTTGCCTCCAGCAAATATAAAGGCGTTTTGAAAACAAGATGAAATTTATCACACAAACAACTACTAAGCAATTCAATCCATGAGGGAATCTCCATTATCAACACCGACTCTCCGCCATTCTTCCTTCGAATAAATGTGCTGTTCGGAGAAGTCGTTCAGCTGTGTGCCGGAGAAATTGAACACCCAGCGTAGGAATTCAATGTTTTTTGAATATTTCGCCGCACACGGTGTCATATGAACAAATGACAAATAAGTGTGGCAAATATGACAATGTGACAAAATATGTCAATAATAATAATAAGTTCTTGCACAGTATAAGGATTCCCGGTCGCTCGAAAAATGAGGAAGAATTCTTAGTGAAAATACCTGAAAAAAATATTTGAAGCGGTACATTGGTGGCCATGGGGAAAGAGAAACTTACTGGCAGTGTGGGCACCGCGATTGCTAAGCGATGAGGCAGCGATGCCGCTTCCAACGGCTAAATAATGAACAGCGTCGTGTATTACTGGGGCGTTATGGCAACTAGCAAAGCATCTCTTTCCGTTTATATTCGCCAATGATCATGGTACCGAAGCATGTATTGGCAGATTCAAGTCGTATTCGACGAAAAGAGAGCCTGATCTCTCCACCAAAATCAATCTCCCATCACTAGGATGGTGATTTCGGCTTCCACCCATGCCCAGTGTGGTTTTCGGAGTAGCCCCTGGTACTAGCCCTTTCCTACGGTTGCTTCTCATTCAGGGCAAGAAGCTGGCGAGTTGTTTCTCTCTGGAATGCCGCGGTGTGGTGCTGTCAAATCGGGGTCCAACAACGAAAGAAATACTCAGCAGTAGAGAGCAGCAACAAGTGAGAGGGCGCAGACAGGTAGCGCGTTTGGCCACGATTAGACGTGGGCGTGCGGCCGGCAGACGAGCGGAGTATGGCATTAGCATGAAGGAACACTACCTAAAAGCCTCGTTCCCGTGCAGTTTCGAGGAGGAAAGTAGCGTGCTGCTCCATTTTTGGACCTATTCACCTCACTCGTGAACAAGGATCAGGTTCCACGGATTTGAGCTCACATTTATATTCAAAGTGGAGTGTAGAGTCTAAAAACTATACATCTTCCACACCCTTCCTTTCTGCATTTAAGTTACCTGGAGCCACACCCGCAGCTTACCTGTGGCCAAGAACTCTACCTAACCGTATCCTTCAGAAAACCACGGAACTGCTCGAAGCTCAAAGCTTCTAGTTTTGACCCTTAAAGGCACATTCCGCGATAAAATAAGGCTATGACCTCTCAAATGTGTCGGACGATCCGGAAGGCGATTTTTGAGGCTGCGCTACTTTCAAAATGTGAAAAACGGCAAGAACTCCGCTAGAAGCTGACTAATTAGGCCCATGGACACCCCTTAGGCCCATGCCGACCCTCACCGGCTGCTAGCTACTAGCTAGTAGCCACTATGTTATCTCTATAACATTTCGGACTGCTTTTTCTGCTGCTTTTCTCCGCTAATCAGATACTTAGCACTTTTTTGTGCCTATTTGAGTTCCGTTTCCCGCAATTTGCGGTCGCGAACTGTGCCTTTAAAGAGAGCATCAAATCTTCACTTTTCTCACAAAATTCAATGAAAGGGAAGAGCGCCATGACCTTATACGTATGCGTGCTCTCTTCACTTTCCTTTAAGTAGAGTGGTTTCCTCTTGACGATAGCGTTGCATCATTTTGGAATAGCGTATTCTAGAGCATTGAGCTACCAGCTTTAATTCACATGACCATTTTTCCTAGATGGTTTCTTCTCTATGATATGGACGCCCAGAGACTATTTAGGTGCGCGAAGCATGTTCCATGACTTTATACATGACGAGGAAATATCTGAAAGTCAATGCCTTTTGCAGTTGCAGCGCTTTTGATAAGAAAGTAGATAACAAAGAGCGAGTAATGTAAGTGGTAATGGCGATTCCGTAGTGGGGATGTTATTATGACGTACAGGCGCGGGGATGCTATCATGACGATTAAAAACTACACCGTCATGAAGGAGTAGCTTGTGATAGAGTTCGAAAAGATGAAGAATTAACTTTTTTGGGATGCGGCACGCATTCTACTTCCATTCAGAATCGTAGTGGCTTATTGAATGCGATGTGGCCTATACAATGACTTGCGGGGTGGGGTGGGTGGGTGGCGCAGCCGATGCGAAAGTCAGTGATCTCTAGCGCGTAGAAGAATCAGTAACAGTCAACCGCTCCCTGACGGTAGAAGGCCTGGACGGAAGCCGATCCGTGATTTGGCATCCGGACAGTGCCCGTGGTGAGCGTTAAACTGGCCACTATATCACCTCCGCTGACGGCAGATCTGTGCACCACACAAAACGACCCCCACTCACTTCCACGTCGCTGAACATATGAATCGAGAACTAAACCGGGAGTCGCAGTAGATTATCAATGCGACTGGCTTATTATTGACCGACATGGTTCGGCTACACGAAGCATAATCGTCCAGCAGAAGGCAG